TTTCGGGCGCAACACCAGCGTCCGTCATCAGGTGGGACAACCACACAGACCACTTAAGCAATTTTGAAGTTGAACATACGGTACACACACATACAACAGACTGCTGGGGCAAGTGCTGTTAGCGAGCACCTATTAAGGACAGCACAGCGCACGTGGCGGTGCTGTGTCCACCAAATACCACCCTCCCCCCGACCGCCTTTGTCTCCCCCAGTGCCGATGTTTACGATCCGTACAGTGAACTGATTTTAGGTTGAGTGGACGTAGAGGACGCCCACTCTCGGCTCAAATATTCGCCACCGCGTGCTGGTGACCGTGAATCGAACTCGGGCCCATTGCGCTAACCGCTGCACCACCACTCCCCGTAAATACACCAAAGATAAAGATCCCCCGTATAGCCTTGACAGACTGTAGGGTCAAGTGCTGTTAGCGAGCACCTATGAAGGCCGGCACGGTACACGAGGGGGTGGGTGGCCATAACCACGCCCGGCCGCCTTTGTCTCCCTAGCGGCGATGTTTACACATCACACCAGGTACTCATGTGAGGCCGAGTCGACCTAGGGGAGGCCCAGGACCGGTTCAGATAATCGTCACTGGGTGTTGGCCGTGAGCGGAAATCGAACCCGGGTCGCCGGGTTCATAGCTAAGCGCGCTAACCGCTACACCACCGCTCCCCACCGCTCGTGGAGGCGAGCACCTACACGCACGCACACACATGGAACATTTAATTCGGACTGAGCCAGAAATGTTCGCGAGAACAGGCTGGACCACATTTCTCGCCCCTTGTCATTCGCTCACCAAGCGGAATCGCATTAAAAACCACCCACACGCCACCAACACCACACACGCACCACCACACACGCACCACCACACACGCACCACCACACACGCACCACCACACACGCACCACCACACACGCACCACCACACACGCACCAACACCAACACCACACACACACCAACATACACTACTATACACTATTATACACTACACTATACACTTATACACTACACTATAAATTACTATACACTACACTATACACTACACTATACACTACACTATACACTATTATACACTATACACTACACTATACACTATTATACACTATACACTACTATACACTACACTATACACTATTATACACTATACACTACTATACACTACACTATACACTACACTATACACTACACTATACACTACTATACACTATACACTACACTATACACTACTATACACTACACTGTACACTATTATACACTATACACTACTATACACTACACTATACACTATTATACACTACACTATACACTACACTATACACTGCACTATACACTACTATACACTACACTATACACTACTATACACTACACTATACTCTACACTATACACTACACTATACACTACTATACACTACACTATACACTACTATACACTACACTATAAATTACTATACACTACACTATACTCTACACTATGCACTACACTATACACTACACTATACACTACACTATACACTATTATACACTACACTATACACTACACTATACACTACACACTACACTATACACTACACTATACACTTATACACTACACTATACTCTACACTATGCACTACACTATACTCTACACTATGCACTACACTACACTATACACTATTATACACGACACTATACACTACACACTACACTATACACTACACTATACACTACTATACACTACTATACACTACACTATACACTACAATACACTACACTATACACTAATATACACTACTATACACTACACTATACACTACTATACACTACACTATACACTACAATACACTACACTATACACTAATATACACTACTATACACTACACTATACACTACTATACACTACACTATACACTACTATACACTACACTATACACTACACTATACACTACACTATACACTACTATACACTACACTATACACTACACTATACACTACTATACACTAATATACACTACACTATACACGACTACACTGTACACTACACTATACAAGGCTACACTATACACTACACTATACACTACAATACACTACACTATACACTAATATACACTACTATACATTACACTATACACTACTATACACTACACACTAGTGCTGTACTAGTGACGAATTGGCCACGTTCTGTTCACGTGACAACCCCTTACTAGTTGACCGTGTCGGGTGGTGGCGGGTTTAGCGACACATTTATATTTTCACGCGATCTCACCCCCCCCCCCCCCCCCCAAAAAAAAAAACTCCAGGCCTAGATTGGCCCGCGTCAATTTCCATTCGCTCCGCGTTCAACCAGTGGGAGAAGAAGAAGAGAGAGAAAACAAGGGCAAGACCAGCGGAGTACAACACTGAAATACGTGAACTCCCCGCGCCCATATAGTATTGCACCGTTGATATCACTGGTCAACACACTTTTTCTGACATAAGGTATTCCAACGGTTTAAAAGTAATTTTGGGTTGATGATTGATTCCAAATCTGGCATCAGATGTTGTCTATCACATCAGGTTTTTGAGATATCAAATGTTGCATTTTCAATAAAAACTGCGGAAGAAAAATATTATATAAATGTGGATATCTACATAAAATGATATTACAAACACACTATCCTAAAAATACAGCACCATACTTTAACACTAAAACAGTCACTGACTCGCAACAACTTGCACTCATAAGTGACAGAGTTAATTTCGGGTAAAATCAATGAAAATGTGGTATGCCGATAGCATAAAAATGAGATGTGATCGAGAAAATCTGAGATCAGATTTGGAATCAGCACCCTGAAATTAGTCTAGAACAGCTGCACAAGTCCAGGCCAGAAATTATTTTGTTGTTGACCAGTGTAATACTCGGCCAAATATTATTGAGTATTTTGCCAGGTAAGGGCACCACCTCCCCCACTCTCTTTTTCAGAAGCGACAGCGGCAATGACAAATGATAGCTCAACGAAGTGGGCTCATCGTTACCGTCGTCGTGTGGAAATTCATAAGCATCAGCCAGATGACTCTAAAACGCGTGACGTTGATTCTAAATGTGGAGGGGGGGGGGGAATCGGAGGACCCGGAGAAAAATCCACGCGACCACGGGGAGAGAGAGAGACGCAAACTCCAAATATACAGCAGCAGGCGTCAGGGATGGGATCGAACCCACGACCTCCTGTATACCTGGCGAGGTAGTTAACATCTTCTAGCCACCGTGATGATGAGAGAGAGAGAGTGACACGCAAAGTCAAAATATACAGCAGCAGGTGTCAGGGTCGGGATCGAAGCCACGACCTCCTGTATACCAGGCGAGGTAGTTAACATCTCCTAGCCACCGTGATGATGAGAGAGAGAAAGACACGCAAACTTCAAATATACAGCAGCAAGCGTCAGGGTCGGGATCGAACCCACGACCTCCTGCATACCGGGCGAGGTAGTTAACATCTCCTTGCCACCGTGATGATGAGAGAGAGACACGCAAACTCCAAATATAGAGCAGGCGTCAGGCTCGGGATCGAAGTCACGACCTCCTGTATACCTGGCGAGGTAGTTAACATCTCCTAGCCACCGTGATGATGACAGAGAGAGACACGCAAACTCCAAATATACAGCAGCAGGCGTCAGGGTCGGGATCGAACACACGACCTCCTGTATACCTGGCGAGGTAGTTAACATCTCCTAGCCACCGTGATGATGAGAGAGAGAGACACGCAAACTCCAAATATAGAGCAGGCGTCAGGGTCGGGATCGAAGCCACGACCTCCTGTATACCTGGCGAGGTAGTTAACATCTCATAGCCACCATTTCATTTGCTGCAGCTACATACTATTAACATTCCTTCCCTTTATTAATGCTTCCCCCTGTCCCCTCCCTTTGATGCTGCTGGTCCTGCATAATGCACGGGCAAAACATGACTTTAAACACCCCGCCAAACCTCTTACGCATTTCACAAGTAGTACTCGTCGCATGTCTGCATTTCCCATAAATATGCTAAAATTCCTCTTGATATGCAAATTCTTTTGTCAAGGCGCTCTTCCTCCTCCCTCCCAGCTTAAATAGACGCTCCAAGCCTAGGACGTGTCATTCAGACGCTGTCTTATCGACAGACCTGTTCTTCACCTGAGGACGGCTGCTTGCGTTGTGGCCGAAACGTCGTGAGAATTATTTTATCACGTTTTATTTTTATTATCTTTTTATTTCCATTCTACGTGACTTTACCGAAAGAACCAAAAAGAAGAATAAGCCACCGTTTCGCTTTCTCTATCGCTGCTGTGAGTCAGCAAGATCCATCAGCAGGAGCCGTGGTTGATCCCCTGCTGGATTAAGGGCGTCACGCCAAAGTCGGCCGTCAACATTCCAGCGACCAACATTTTTTTTAAAAATCATTTGGTGAAAAAAAAAGATACAGCCTGGTCAACTTGTAGACGGCTCGAGTTTGGTGTCTGCCGAGCACCTCCACCCCCCCCCCCCGGGACCCCTAACTGGGTATTTGTGGTGGGCAAAGAGCTTGACAGCTCATCGGATTTTTCTCCAGGACAAATCAAGATTACTACATTATCAGTGACGTAGTTACCATTGTTAAGACAGAGCGGGCTTATCCCAGGAACGCCGCGCATCCATTCTGCTGCTTTGGCGTTGAGAATTGCCGGCGTAAGGCACTACCACTAGACCACAAAGCCGCCGGGTACGAGTTATCCACAGTAATCCTATCTTACAGGTGTCAGTTGCTCCGCATCAACATCAGCCATACGAAAGACCGAGCGTTATTGCGATTGTATTGCCCCTAAATCACTCTCGTGCTAAGAACATATTTAATTTGGACGAAAAAAAGCAGGTAAAAATAGTAATAAAATAACATAATAATAAATGAAAATAACTATTTTTTTATTTTTTTTTACCCACGTGACTTTACCGAAAAAACCTAAGAGTATGAATCCTTGCAGTCACGAAAGCTTCAAATCTAGAAAGAAAGAAACAGCAGGCACATCGACTCACCTGTGTTCGCTGATGTCAGTTTCTCACTCGGGAATACCTTTCTGGGACAGCCTTCGGAAGCGTTCCGGCTGAAATCAAGAACCAGCATCTGTACTTAATACTGGGGGGGGGGTGAATGAATCCGATGATCTATAAAGCTCTTAACAGGCGTTCACGGGTTCATCTTCTTGGTTCTTTCGGTAAAGTCACGTAGAAGGGAAATAATAAAAATAAAACATCATAAAATAATTCTCACGACGTTTCGGCCACAACGCAAGCAGCCGTCCTCAGGTGAAGAACAGGGCTGTCGGAAAGACAGCGTCTGAATGAGCTGTCTTTCCGTCTGAATGAGCTGTTTTTTCCGACAGACCTGTTCTTCACCTGAGGACGGCTGCTTGCGTTGTGGCCGAAACGTCGTGAGAATTATATTATTACGTTTTATTTTATTATTGTATTACTTCCCTTCTACGTGATGACATTACCGAAAGAACCAAGAAGAGGCTTCCACGCGTAAGCACAGCAGCGTTCTTACCTGGTCGGTGCACTGCTGCTGCGTCTCGTTCCTTGTTCAACCTTTCGCTCGAGACGCTGTGGGCTGAGCTCGGAGCTGAGTTATTTAAACTCAGCCCACACACACACACACCCTCCCCTATCCCCCCACCACCCCCCACGTGTGTGTATGTGTGTGTGGTGTGCGCGTTGTGTGACAATGCCTGTGGGCATGGGAGTACACTCCGGGTCGCAACACTGTCGCACGAGCCGACAGGGGTGTCTGGTGACACGTGGGGAATTGAATTGTCACTTGGTCTGGTCAGGTTTTCTCGTGTCCGGCTCGTAGACCTCCTGAGAGAAAGCCTCGAGTCTTGCCCCATCAGCCGCTCGTTTTCGCCGGGGCAAAACAACAACGCCGAGAAATTCGTGGCTTCAGGTCTTGCTGCAAACACCTTTGAGTCTGAACGCGTCCGAACTCGCTACGCTGCGCTACGAATCATAGCGAACGCGAGTTCGAAAAATTTTCGAAACGTTTTTTAGTTTGGCCATTTTTTGTTTGTTGTAGTACAGAGTTAGACTGATGGCCTTAATCTAAGTTGTCTTGTGGTTGTTGTTGGTTGACTTTTATGGCTTTATTTTGTTGATTTCGAAAAGTGTTTTGGTTTAGCCATGTTTGTTTGTTGTAGTACAGAGTTAGACTGATGGCCTTAATCTAAGATGTCTTGTGGCTGTTGTTGTTGTTTGACTTGCATCCCACTGGTATTTTTGCACACAGCGTTGGTGTACGGTGATTTTTTTCTGCAATATTTTGCTGTCTTTCCTTGGATTTTCTGTTTGCACATAGTCACTTTAAGATGTTTTCTTGTTCATGTTTTTTTTTGTTTGTTGCGGTTGCACCCGATTCAAGAGCCGATTGGCTCACAGGGCTATACCTAATACTTGAACTTTGCTCACGGCCAACGCTGGCGGCGATGATTTATCCGGACCGGTCCTGGGTCACCCTCCCACTCCCCCCTAGGTCGACTCAGCCTAGAATGAGCGCTTGGTGCGGGTGCGTAGTAAACATCGCCGCTGGGGAGACAAGGCGGCCGGGCGTGGTGCCGTTCACACCGTCCCCTCGCGTGCCGTTGCCAGCAATCATAAGTTGCGAGCTCGCTAACAGTACTTGCCCGGGCTACACGGGGGATCTTTGTCTTTGTTAAATAAACACCATAAACGGGAAGACCTAACACGATTATTTACATGCCCTTTTAAAGGCTGTTGGGAGCAAGTGCTGTTAGCGAGCACCTATTAAGGTAGCCGTGGGGAACGGTGTTGTGGCCGGTGCTCAGCACGATGTTACGACAACCTCGCTCATTTGCGCGGTTTGTGTTGAGCCGATGTAACTCTGCCACTGATTTTCTTGGTTCTTTCGGTAAAGTCACGTAGAAGGGAAATAATAAAATAATAAAATATAAAACAATAAAAATTCTCACGACGTTTCGACTGCAACACAAGCAATCGTCATCAGGTGTGAAATCCACAGCAAGAAAATTAGAAAATTAGAAAATTTGAAATTTGACAATTTTAACTTTTCTTGCTGTGGATTTCACACCTGATGACGATTGCTCGTGTTGCAGTCGAAACGTCGTGAGAATTTTGATTGTTTTATATTTTTATTATTTTATTATTTCCCTTCTACGTGATGACTTTACCGAAAGAACCAAGAATATGAATCCCTGCAGTCACGAAAGCTTCAAATCAAAATCTGCCACTGATGTTAGCCGTCGCTGGGAGGCGCCGGGTTTTTATTAGACGTGAGACTGGGTACTCATTTCAGGCTGAGTCGACCTAGGGGGCGGGCATGGGTTGTGTGTGGGGGGGGGAGTTCTATTAAACTAAAACTAAACTAATTTTTTTTTATTTCACCAGGGGTAAGTTCCCACTGAGCAGCTACGTAACTTTATTTTTCGGAAGCGACCATGACCTCACGAATCGTAGCCCAACATCATCATCATCATCGGCTACACAGGAAACAAGGACAACTAATAACTTACAGTCGTGGAAGAATTTTCGGTAATTATTAACGAGTCCGAGTCTCGATCACTCCACTGTCAGTAAAGTACAGCAAAAAAAACAAACACTGTTGTACTGTACTATGCCCCAACGTCTATGCTGCCCTCCTGCCAACCCGCAGCTAGCCAGCCGTGGTGAAGTATAGTCAAAACTCCCTCCACCCCCCCCCCCCCCCATGATCCACATTGCGTGGGGAAACCCTCATCCAGCAGTAGAGTAACAAAGCGACTGTCTCTCTCTCTGGTACATTTTTACATCCCAGATTCATTCAAGAACCTCAGTGGGTTCCAGTTGTTTAAAGAAACCAAAATAAGTATAACCCGTAAAAACAAAGTTTTTCACTATAAATCCTTTATATGCGTGGCGGCTAGAGTCCTCTCGTCCTCTGGCTTGAGATGGCTGCCACCTATGGGTCAGATGATTGTCTGCCAGTATTAAGCAATTGGTAATTAAATATTTAATTAGTTTTTCCTAAACAGTGTAAAATTTTGGACAAAATTTTTCACGAACATTAATTGTCTCGCACAACGAGTCTGTGTGCAAAATGTCAGCTCGATTGGATCACGGGAAGTGGGTTAAAAAACGACCGAAAGATTTGCACGGTCGTAAGCAAGCAAGCAAGCGAACTTAATATAAAAGATTTAAAAATAGCGAGAGGTGGGAGGCTTAATTCGCTATCTGCCGCGGTGTCTTTGCGTTAGCGATCAACGTCGCCAGAAACAAGATTATTCACCTAATATTCAATGCCCAGTGTTCTCATGTACAGTCCCAACAAAATCTACATTTGCCGTTCTCTTAAATTTTTCCCGTGAATTTAACTTTGTACCTGCCACCCCAATGTATATATATATATAGATATACTCACGTTATTCACTTTGTCGGCCAGTTTTTTTATAAACACCCTTACATAAAAACAAACTTTTTATACAAGAGTGACTAAGTTATTCATTTACCCTGGGTGATCATTATTTTCTCGTGCCGTGTAATTAATCATTCCTCATTTCAGCTTCGGGGTAGGAGGAGGAGAAGGGAGGTTTTCCCCATTCCTCCGTCTTCAAATGGTCAGCGCCGTGAGCCGTGGCCACGTGAGTTCCATTCCGGACCACGTGAGCCAATGCTAGTGGCGAATATTCGAACCAGTTCTGACCTCATGGGATCTCCTTTGCCAGTACCAAAATATACTAATAGGGGTTTTTCCCCTCTTTTCTGGCAACAAAACTGACACCTTTTGCAAGGACTCATGCTTACATTAACCACAATACTTGCAGTCAAATGCAAAAAAAAACCATATGAGACTAGGCTCTAAAGAAAGCTGTCTCTGGTGTGGACCAATCAGTTTCAAGGACAATGCATAAATTATCAGAGTATTGTTTTTTGTTTGCATTTGACTGCAAGTATTGTGGTTAATGTAAGCATGATTCCTTGCAGAAGGTGTCAGTCTTGTTGCCAGAAAAAAAGTGGGAAAACCCTATTAGTAAGTTCTGACCTGTCCGCCCCCCACCCCCTGCTGCCCTCCCTCCACCACCTAGGTCAACTCAGCCTTAAAAGGAGAACCTGGTGCGGTGCGTAACCATCAGCACTGGTCGAGGGAGACAAAGGCGGCCGGTCCTGCCCTACCCTGCCACTGCCCCCACCCAAACTGTTACCAACCAACGCAGTGAAACATAACAACAACAACAAAAACAACAACAACAAGTGGAGTAGTAGCAGTAATTATAATAATCTGCTGTAGAGCAACGGCGTTGATTCTACATTGGGGTGGCTGAGCCATCTTCATCATCATCACATCATCCCTGGGGGGGCCGGTAAAATGTGTACTCCGTGGCTGATGCTTTCACCACTGGGTGATACGTCGGTAAGTACTTTGTCGTTGATGTCTCGTTGATGGACCTCAGCTAGATACTGGTCCCTGTCATAAGAACGTGGACATTACGCAATCAGCTCAGAAGAGCCCAACTAACGTGGGACGTGCACCAGCAAAAGACAAAGATCACCCGTATAGCCTTAACAGACCGTAGGGGCAAGTGCTGTGAGCGAGCATCAGCACCTGTGAAGGCCGGCACGGCACACGAAGGGGTGGGTAGTCAGCACCACGCCAGGCCGCCTTTGTCTCCCCAGTAGCGATGTTTACAGACCGCAGCAGGTACTCATTTGAGGCTGAGTCGACCTAGGGGTGGGAGGGGGGGTACGCCCACCAGCCAGCCACCCACCATCACCACCACCCAGCCACCATCTAGAATACGCCAGCGATGTGCGTGCGTGCGTGCGCGCGTGTGTGCGCGCGTGTGTGTAAGGGGGTGTCACATTACGCATGGGGTGTGCCTGCCTCAAAGCGAGCTGGCTCCCCCCAACCAGCAACCAACGCAGCCTCCGAAGAACCAGTCTGACCTGACACACACACAAGAGAAGCAGAACCCGCCACGGCTTCCCACCACCACCCCGCCCACACACCACCCGTCTCCTCCTCTGAGCTGCCCCCCTCCGCATTTATTTGCACGAGCAAAAAAACACGGCGGGTTAAATAGACTCGTGGCGTGAACTCGCCTCGCGCGATTACACAGCCCTCTGTGGCACTTTCACACACGCGGCCGGCTCGAATTACCAACGTTTGCAGTTCGAAGCCGCAGTTGCGATAACAATCGTGTCACCCAGTCACCGACTAACCCACGTACCCATACAGCCAACCACAGACTGACCCACCCACCCACCGACTAAACCACTCACCTACCGACTAACCTACCCACTCACCCAGCCACCCACCTACCAACTAACCCACCCACACACCCAGCCACCCACCCACCGACTAACCCACTCACCCAGCCACCCACCCACCGACCTACCCAGCCACCCACCCACCGAATAACCCACCCACCCAGCCACCCACCCAGCCACCCACCTACCGACTAACCCACTCACCTATCAACTAACCCACCCACCCAGCCACCCACCTACCGACTAACCCACCCACCCACCCACCAAGCCACCCACCCACCGACTAACCAACCCACCCAGCAACCCACCCACCAACTAACGCACCCGCTCACTCACCCACCCACCTACCGACTAACCCGCTCAGCCAG